CATGAAACTAAAGGAAAACCCTCTTTAAACTATGGTGTAGGTTTCTTTGCGTATAAACATATTATTATGGACCGAAGTTAATAAATCTTCAAACCCATAATCCCTTTTTAAAAACGTTTAATCTAAGGAATGCTCATTGAAAAATATAAACAATATTCAAATATATATAACTCTTTGAAATTACGATTAAACAATTCGAATTTTTGACACGTTTTTCATTAAAGAATGGGGCTTTAGAAAAGTGTAAAATGTTTAAAATATAATCATAATTTTAGAAATTATAAGCATATGAAATTAAAATTTCTGTAAATATATGCACATGCTATTTGCTAAAATAGTAGTTTTAATTATTAGCAATAAAAATATATGTAATAAAAATGTATCATTATTACACTGTATTATGAAGTTAAGTTAGTATATAAAGTTAAATGTGTCATTATTGCACTGTAGTATTTTTATATAAATAGAATAATAAATTATATTTTTTAAAAAATTAAAAAACTTACATTTCAATTTTTTTTTAAATTTCAATATTTTTCAAAAATTTTGAAGTACAAAAGACATATTATTCTTAATTTAAGTAAGGTTTAAAGAGTATGATACATATTTTATAACTCTAAAAAATTTTATGCATCAAATACTACTATTTTAGAAAATAGCGAGAGCAACGCAAAAATTACTTAACATTTATTCCAAAATTATTTCTTATTTTCATATGCTTAAAATTTTTAAAATTATGATTTTATTTCAAACATTTCGTACTTTTTTGAAACCACAATACTTTGTAAATAATGTGTAAAAGATTCGAATTATTTAAATTAAATTTAAAATAATTATACCTGTTTGAAAATTGTTTTATATTTTTACCCCTCGAGACAAAATTAACACCCCTAAGACTCCTTAAGAAGTAGAACTACATTCATTAGTACAGTCCAAATAAAGGCAAGCGAGCGGTTTACTTATATGGCTTTCTGACGGTTGAAATTGCAAATTCTAAGCACATATCTCAATAAAGTAAATGCCATAGATCAGTGTTTCTCAAACTGTGGGGCGCCCTAGGAGGGCGTAATAACCCTACGAGGGGGTGCGAGCATATTGAAAAGTGAAAAACAAAAGATTATTTTAAATAATTAATATCTTACTGAAAGTAAACAAACAATACATTCTGACATAATAAAAATAAAATACTCATTTACACTATAATACACTTATAAATGTATCAGTAATGCACAATTAATTTTATAATTAATTTAACAATACTGACAAGTTTAATAATTACCAGTGACCCATGGATTTGTCATATATAAAATTATATGCAAATATTAACTCTTATCTTGATAATTTTTTGTGAGTTTATAATTAATCCCTTAACTGCGGAATAAAAATTACGTGATTGGTTCCGCAATGCTACACATTTAGCACATAAGTAAGCGTATGTGTGTATTGAGGGGATAGAAAAGAATAAATCATCAAAAATCCTATGAAATAAGTAAATCCTTCGCAAACACTGTCAAGGTCATTTTATTGCTTTCCAAAGCCTTCGGAATAATTTTATGGATAGCAGTTCACAGAAAAGATAGTACTTCCGAAAGACGTATATATACGTCTAGGGGCAATTAACACACTACTGAGTGAAGCGTTTATATACGTCGAAGGTACTTAAAGAGTTAAAGTCGTATTGTAAGTTTAGCTTCAATGTATAGAATTGTTGCATTTAATACATCGTTATAGTATGGAGGGGCGCAATGCAAATTATGATTGAATATTGGGTCGCAAACATTGAAAGTTTGAGAAGCACTGCCATAATATATATTCAAAATTAAACCAAGATGAGCATTCCAAAACAATATATGCCATCTGGTTTTGAATTTGAAATGTCAAATTGATTGGCGCGTTGCGTAAACATTAAAAGTATATTCTACATTCTTTTTAAATCCGCAAACATTTTCTCTTTCTTTCAAGTCTGTTTCTGCAAAACTGGATATTATGCAATATATAATGTTTTCTATCCAAAGTTCTTTTTTATTTGAATTTTTCATCTTGTTCAAAATAAACGTGCGAAGAATTTGTCAAGGTTTTCTCTCATCCACTGAGGAATACGAGACCTACATTCGAATGTTCAAAAAGAGAAATCGTAATTTGTGTAAGATACCAGTCATGCCTTTGAAAGCTTATTTATTGAAACTTATTTTCTGAGGGAAAGAAATTTTCAAAGACGTCGGTGAAATATTAAGTGTAAGGTTTTTATGCTTTTTACATCTAAATTTTTAACATGTACGAGGATTTCTGAAATAGTCGAATAATGATGTTTTGAAAATCGTTTCCTTTCTACTAAATGATGTATTACTATGCTGGAAACTACTTCAATTATTATTTTTTTTGTACGGCGAAACTTAGATAAAACTTTTTTTTAAGTTACTTGATGTTCTCACAGTAAAACCCTAATTAACACTAGAACCGCGGCAGTTTCGGTATACCTAAAACCGTGGGTGGGGTCAAGTTGACCCCAATAATAAAAACCCATGTTGTTATGCTTAAAGTACACAGTGATTATTTGGCAATGACATTTATTAATTTTTAACATTAAATTGTTATAAAAAGTGATGAAAACTAATAGATATTGCAATATGGAATATTTGTATACAATTAATAAAATATACATACAACTTGAATAGAAATATTTAGTTTCTTACCAGTCAAGATTTCCTACACAATTCATGCACAATTTGGGTAACTTATTTTTATATATTTTGTACACTTTCCACTTATCGATATTTCACAGTCAGAACAAGTATCTACAGTTTTGTTCCTACGCTGGAAATCTTTGCAATGAATTCTATTTCAAATCTGCGCAGATCCTTCAATAGTATCCGCTTTAGTCTGTGTATCTGACTTGTACTTTCTTTTGTGAATATACGCACTACGCAACACTGCAATGAGTTGTTGAAGATATTCTCTGCTCGTAAGTTTTTTACCAGTAACTTCTTTGTATAAAATTCATGAATTAATCCCTGCAAGATCAGGAGTGTTGTAGAGTTCATTAACTGGCCACCTCCTTGATCCTGTCTCTTCACAGAATATTTCGAGCCATTTGGTCGGCAATGTCGACACCAAATTTTGTTGAGTTAAAAAATGATATTATTCCTGGAAGCTTTTTGAGTGATTATTGCCGATATCAACTGTGGGATGAAGAGGCTCAATAATTAGACATTTTTTCTGGTTTTTCCCTGATAAACTGTCAAAGTTATATCATAATTCTCCAGCAACAATGTATCGTGCAACAGCATCTTTACTTTTTCCACAAATTTAGGTACTTCTTTCCGATTTCGTTTCATCGTCCCGGTTAAACTAGTGTTCTTCGTTTCTAACATTTGGTACAGATTTAATGTAATGAAAAAAATTATCTGTAGTGATATTTCTTGCTTTATTTTTGAAAGGTTCTATCAAACGCAAAACGACGTATTCGGAGAGAAATAGGTTTACAGAACGTTTCTCATCTTTACCAAAATATGGAAAATCATTGAGCACTATTTACTATTAATATCAGCGGCAAGCCAGAACTTGACACCAAATTTATCTGGTTTACTTGGCATATATTGGGTGAAACGACATCTAGCTTTAGACGGAAACAGTTATTCATCAATAGTTAAATATGGTCCTGGTTTAGAGAAAAGTATCGAATTTTCAATAAGTTTCTTCCAAACTTCAGAACTGAAACACAATTTATCTGTTTGAAGGTGTTCAGATCATGTAGTTTTTTTTTTGTCGAATAGCAGAAATTTCATAAGTTCTCAGAATCTGTCTCTTGATGCAGTATCACGGAAAAAAGGTAGACCCCAAACAACAGACCGCAGAATATGAAGCTCTAGATTATTTGCACCGTATATACTTTGAGTATACAAAACGGATATAAAAGCATCTAGTCCGTCTAAAGTTGTTGGCCATTCATTTTTTCCCAGTTGCCGGTGAGCTTCTTCCTCTGTACAATTTTTGATATGAGAAAGCATAGCCTCATCTATAGGTAGCCTCCCTGAACTAATTGCATAGTCATTTTCAATATTTCGCTTTGCATAACTGGTTGGGCCAATTTTTTCTTTGAAAATATTATGTTCAACAATTCTTCCGCGCATATAACTTTCAGGGTGATGCTTTCTCAACCCGTTCCATCATTTCTAACAAAAGTTCCAGAGTTAATTTCATCTGGATTTGAATCTGACAACTTTTTACGTTTATTTACACATTGTTTTTTCTTTCCAGAAGTGTTTCTTCTGCTATAACATTGTACAGGAAAATTAGATACGGTATCTTAGAGGACTGAAAAAGCGTTTCCCTTTCCAGGAATCGTTGAATTGCAAATTTAGTACTTGTGATTATAATGGGGTCAAAATGACCCATTCTACGGTTTTATGTATAAGTATTAAAAAAAAAAAAAATGATAAGTATTTCACGTATCATATTTTCACAGGTTATTATTGGTATAAAAATAGGAAAAGTCAATTTTTTTCAATTCCGTTTGTAACTTTTTGAGAAAATCGAAAACAAAATTGCTTTTGGGTCAAAATGACCCTATCCGCGGCTCAGTATTAAGCAAATAGCTGCTAATATCATATAGTTCATTAGAAAAAATTAAGAGTTTCCACATGATTTGGCGGCTTAGAATATTCTACTCGATAAAACCATGTATGGTAGTGATGAACATCTTTACTTAAATAAATGCAAGAAAAAAAAATTAAGTCATTTCCTGCTTAGGTCAACAAAGAAAAATTTTATTTTAGTTAATTTGTATCAAACAATTACAATAAATATAAATTTGTGTATATATAAGACAAAATCACAATATTAAGTGGCAAAACAGGAAGTGATTTTCTTCGCAATTTTCCATTTTCCTTTCTATATAGGGTGTTGGACTATATTTGTATTGTTACTATTTATTCTTTGACTAAATTTAATTATTCAAATAAAATAGTATGGTAAAAAATTCACATTCTCAGAAATTAGGCCATTCCAGGTGGATTCGAAACCCATGATCTTTGGATTAGAAGTCCAACGCGCTATGTATTGCGTGACAGGGACACAATAACCGATTTTCCTTTTTATATATGGTGTTGGACTATTATTTTTGTTTGTTACTATTTATTCGGTAATTAAAAAATAATGAATTATTGTTTGAGAAAACTGTATTAATATCAAATGTCATCCACTACAAGTTGAAAAAATGTATTTGAACTGATGAATAAAAAGTATTTCATACAAGATTGAAAATTTCAAATATATATATAGGGTGAGTTTAAACTAATAGTAGGAAATGAAAAAAAAAAGTTTATAGAAATTCCTGTTATTAGCTCTATATACAGGGTGAGCCAAAAGTTCGTAAAAAGGAAGAAATTATCATAAAGAAGTGTGGTTTGAAAGAAACAGCTCTCAAGAAAGTTGATTTTTTCTTGTGGTCAAAACGTTTTTTGTTAAAAATATCCCCGGTAGAGAGTGCTGACAATCCGAATCACAATGCATAGAACCAGAGTACACTCTATTCATTTATTATTTCAATAACAATTGTTCAGCGTGAGCTGTGGAACATTTACGACACAATTAATTCGGCTCACAACGCTCATTACACTCATTTGCAACATATCGGAATGAATGGCGAAAACCTCAAGACAAGTAAAATTTTTGAGTTAGGTCAATGTTGATAGGGTTCAATAGAACACAAGTTATTTCAAATAGCCCTACAACCAGAAGTCAATAAGAATCAGGTCGGCAGAACAAATGGTGGTCCTGCAATCATGCATCCTCAACCTATCACTCACCAAAATTAGTCAATAAGAACCTTTTTACTGGATTGGCATTGTATGGAAGTATGCTGTTCTGCAAGAAGCTAATTTCAAATAACACACCTCTTTGATTTAATGCGGGCACGACTGAAAATATTTTGGCTTCTAAGAAAATCTGACTTGATTGCGAGCCGATTCTTGTAGCCACTTCCGTATCATAATTTCTTACTTTTTCATGAATTTTTAAAGTTTAAATGAGCCTTTGGTTCCTTCGTTAGAAAATAAAGATCAATAATTAGTTAAGAGACAAAATTATTTACAAAAATATAAGTAAAAATGTATTAATGAAAGATGTTGATAAAACTAAAAAAATAAATATTATAAAAAATTTTAAATTTAAAACTGAAAGATAAATATCATAAAAATTATTTGTATTTTTTTCTATTTTTAATCATTATTATTCTGAATAAGATGTGAGTTTTTGATTCACCGTTATATATTAATAATGCAATGTATCGAAATTATCATAAATGACTTGATAACGTGACAGTTAACATTTTCTTTTCCCAAGGCTTTTAATTTTTATTTTATTTCGTTTTCTAACTCAGTTAGTAGCTTAATAATATGGTTGTTAACTTTGTTGACTGTGATATACTCAAGGTATGAAATAAATAAATAACATTTGAACAAATATGACAATTGAATTTAAAATAGTAATTAGCTGCTCTTCCATATATCAGAGTCATTTATATTTCTGAATTGGCAAAATAATTACCATTGCAAATGATTCTGTTTCAAGATTTAAAAGGAACTATAGCAATATAGATTAGATTTTCTTTCATAAATTTGGAATTCGACGTAGAGAATCCGCCTTTGTTAGTTTTATGCATTTTAAAATGTGTACTAGAAAGATAAAATTGTTTATTGAATACATTAGCAGTCTTTGATTCTCAATTATAAGTATTTGAAACATGATTTTTGACCTTTTTGAAATTCTTAATAGCAAACAAATTAACAATGGATATTTATTTTCAAAAAGCGTAGGTGTTCTTAGTATGAGATTAATATAATACTATAAATTTACGTACATTTTACGTCAATTGCAAGTAAATGTAGATTGGAATTAATAGATGATCGAGAATAGTTTTACAAAGTAGATTATAATGTACGTTTATTTCAATAGTTTTTAAATAATATTTGAAAGGGTATTATAAATTATGAATACTTGTAACCATTTGTTATTAATAGTTACAGACATTGCATTAATGTAACAAATATTTCAGTTTATAAATAAAAATGCCTGACTCTTTTCTGTTAAAAATTCTTTTTTGAACGACATTTATTTTATTTATTAAACGTAAACCCAATTCTTTGAAATGTAAACTTTAATTAAAAATAAATATGTTAATTATATGAAGTTTAAATATAGACATTTCTAACTTGCAATAGAAAAAATTTTTTTTTGTTCAAGAATGGAAAAAAATATTCACAAAATATTTTTTTTAAAATTTTTTTTTTCACATTTTAAATGTGGTTCTGTTTTTTTTTTGTTTTGTTTCATGCCCCTTTTTAAAAAATTCTTTAAAAACAAAAAACCAAATCCACTCTTATATAATAAAAAAAAATACATTAAATGCAAAAATAATATTGATAATTTGATTCATAAAATAATAAAATTCAAAGAGTGATGTTTTTTCTTTCTGACTCCAAAGAATAGTAAACATACAGTAAATTTTAATTTTATGATAAAAAAGTAATGAATATAAGGTTTGTTTTAATCAAAACTATAAAACCATAAATTTACCAAGATGCTTTATTCGGAAATATGTAGTGGGTGATGTAGCCTGATGGTCAAAGCCACGGACTCGTGGCTGGCGGGGCATGAGTTTGAACTTAGTACCGCTGAAAAAAAAAACCGTGTAGAGGGTTTCCTACGTTAAATCTGTTGGGGGCTAAAACACTTCCGTAGGGGGGGTGCCACAGGGTTTTCCCCTTGCACGAACATAGTTCAAATTAACGAAATCTTATGCCAATAGCCCTCGTGCTGCTTTATAATATGATTCTCACTCTCGGAAATATGTATCATAATTCAAACTTTGATGCTGGAAATAATGAAACAATTTGGTATAAAAAGAAATGCTATTATTATATATGGAAGATACTAATAACGATGCCCAATATAAAACACAACTTTTGAAGAGGCGGGAAACTACAGAGATAATTATCTTAAATTTGAATCGAAACCCGAAGCTTTTCTGGATAAGAATTCCAAAGACTTTTCAGAATGTTCTTTAAAACAGTATGCTAAGCTGAATTTACAGAAATTTCAATAAAAGAAGTTTTCCGGGAATACTGAAACATTTCTTACTTTTCGAGGTGTGTTTTTAAATTTTTATGAAATTGAAAATATATCTCAAATCGACAGGTTCCATATTTATTTCAACCAATAGAAATCCAAGAAATCCAAGATTACAAGTTTTAGAGCTATATATTAATATTATATTCTGACGTCTATTATTAGTTTCTTTGTGTGCATAATATGTGTGTATATATATTGTACAAAAATTATAGAAACAAAAGATTATTACTTTACATGCGATTAAGGATAGTACATTGATGTTCAAAATTAAGAGAGTGCATATTTTGTGGAACTGTATGAACAGACCTGAACGAAATCAAGATCAATATGCATATCTTGTGTGCCAAATAAATAAGCGTATATAAGTGTTCAAAACTAATCCACTAACAGGATTTATAAGTGCTGGAAAAACTATCCGCGTTTACTTAATATTTTTTTTACAGAAATCAGTTAAATAAAATTCAAACAGCAAAAATTAGTAACCGCCATTGTTCAGATGATGGAATGGTGTGGCATATTATCGGTAGAATAGAAGTAGAACAGCTTCAAACATAGATTTTAGAGAATTTTTTTTAACAACCAGTGTCGTGTTAAACTTTAAGAAACAGTTTCAAGATATCGGTTCCGTATAGAGAACGCCTGTGCAAGGTCTTTCAATAGCCGCAACGCCATTTGTCCATTATAATAAAAAACGTAAAAGGTACTACACTTCTCGCTCTCCTTGGGAGGTGTATGCTGAAGGGAAAACCCGAATTTCAGAATGACTGTTACAGAGCTCTGAAAACCCCAAAAAATCTTTGTTTGAATCTTCTTATTCTGCAACAAAAGATCCGTTTTAAAAAGATGCGGATTAAGATTGAGGGTTTGGGGCAATGGTACCATTCTTTCCTGATAAGTCGAGTTCAGCAACCGTTTTTCATGGTACTTTTATAACCAGGAACTCGCTATCAGCCCTATAATATCTGAGAAATCGACCATTACATGAGCAAGCGATGGTCCCGGGGGCATCAAGTTGGATGGCCCAACACACCCTATATTTTCAGAGGCCCGTGATGCTGAGTATAGGGATGAGGTCTTGGGGCCCTATATTCCCTTTTTCATGGATGCAGTTAGCCCTGATTTTATTTTTTTGACAAGCTAGACCCCAAAGTATCGGTCAACAATTTTCTGGAAATCAGGTATCCAAAAAATTACCAAGTCTCAGACCCCTTTTTCCCACAAAAAATGCCGGAATTCTGGGAAGGGCAATTTAACTAAATCCTCCGGCCCAAAAACAGAGTTTCTGGGAGAGGTTAATTTCTCAGGGAAAAAATCATTTCTCTATTTCAGTAAAAACAGGGTGCAAAGCGTTTTTTATGTAAAAGGGGGCCCTCCCCTATTAAATAATTTTTTTGTTCTATTCTGAAACTACTGTTTTATACCTTCCGATTCCGATGAATGTTACGCTCACTTATGTGTGAGTATTATAACTATTAAGGGGTTTTTTTTTTATTAACCCATGAATATTTGTCCAGTATTTTTAGAGATAATCGCGCGACCAAATCTGAAAATTCTCTTAATTTTGAACACCAGCATATTATTACATATCGTCTTCAAATATACCCATTTTTTCCAATAAAACATCTCTATTAGCATGTCTTACTCATAATGCAATTCCGATCATCGTCAGCAAAAATAATCACAGTCGTTCAAAATTAGACAAGTATGTAAACTGGATATATCTTAACGAATTAAAGATGCATATACTTTTATAAGTTTACTTAACTAACTCATTAAATATTCTCCAGTAGTAGGAAAGAAATAATATATGAAAAAAAAAATAAAATGAACATATTTACAAGTTTTCTGTTGACTTATAAGTACCTATTTCCTCGGTTTTGATAACTTACATATTTCATGAATACCGTCTTAAATAAAGTGTTTTGAGTAGTTAGTAGATGCTC